TTTTTGAAATCTACATAAAATTGGCTCGTTGATAGTAGTTTTGTTGTCGTAGTGTAAAGCATTTTGACATAGTGCTGTGTGTTTGAATTTGCAATAGTGAGTTGCGCCAGGTGCGAATTTTTGTAACGCCATGTTTATTTTATGTTCTATTGTGGTGTGTTGGAAAAGCACGTTGTTTTTTTGGCATAAAGATGCCAGTTGTGTGACAAACCCGAAAACCCGAACTTCGCCACACGGGATTGTTGTTTGACAGATCGAGCAGACCTTACTGTGGGACCGACATTAAGCTCCGAGGAGTCGGGCCGGGTATTCTGAAGTATTGCTACCAACTGAACAACTAGGTAAGTGTACTTTGCTTTAATAGTGCGACAGATTGTATTATTTCAGATTGTTTAGATAACAAAACGGTAAATGTCAGGAAAGAATGGACATTGCTGCTAGAAGTCAAACTTAAAACCTCACCACATGCGAGAAATGATGTGTTTTCATATGTAGTTTTAAGTAAAATGTTGTTGCCCGCGATAGTACTAATTTTAACACATGGTACAGTACAAGTGTACAGTTGCAGTAGATTCTTACCAAAATTGTTAATAATAATAAAAAATAATTTATGGTTGCTCTAATGCAACTATATGCTGGAAAAGCAATGTAGCCTTGTGGTTAGTTGGTCAGTGGGCTTCAATCCACTTCGAGCATTCCAGGAATGAGCTAGCCCTGGCTGAGTTCACCATTCTGTGTTCTTGAACAAGACACTTAACTCTAACAATGCCTCACTCCAGTAATAATATTACATTTGCAGGTTTGGGTGGAACACATACATGTAAGAATAAAACCCTAGTATTTAACTGTGAGGATCATTTCCACTTTCATAGGTTCATAAGATTTTTTCTAGTCAGACACGGAAGGAATTTGGCAATATTACTGAAGATAAGAGCTACTTTCAGGCCGTACAGCACATAAGTTACAGCTAACAGTAACACTCTAGATGTGTTTCAGTACAAAACCAACAACAATAAAGATGGCAGGTCCTACACGTGTGTCTACAATCATTCCCATGCGCCACAGAGTTTTACTGATATCGCGGGCTCTTAACAATATCAATAATGACTAAAAATATTCTATTTTCTTTTAAAAATAAGAACTGAAGAACCAAAGTGACCTGCAAAACCCACTACTACACAGAAGTGGATGAAAGATATCACTAAAAATCTTGTTATTATCCATACTAATTAGGTCCATAGGTTCTTTCAGTGATGGATTTTAAGACATGGAAATAAGAGTAAGCATAAAATTCAGTTTGATACATGTAGTTTTGGTAATAAGGGTACAAAAGAATACTTGGTCAAAAACTTTATATCATTTGTTTGCTTATTTTAAATAAAAACGTCAATGCATTTAAATCTGGAAGCTTTTGTTTTGGTCTGTTGTATCTGTCTAAATCTATTTGACCAGTCATTTATGGGTATTGTGATGTTCTGAACTCCCTGTATCCTCTTTCTGGTATTTTGGTCGTATCTGCTTGACTTCTTATGGGCAATTGTTTTGCATAAGTTGTTGGGAGGGAAATAGTAGGAGGAAATGGGGAGAATTTGGCATGGGTGGTTTTGACGAAATAGTGATATCTTGCGTTCCCTATGATATGAAAAAATTATATGATATGTAGGTGTCAAAAAATATAGCTATCATAGATACAAGATACATTATTTAGCTTGTTTTATTTCCGGCTACTTGTTTTTCGACACAATCGCTTTATTCGTCTAACGTGCTGGGAAAAACTTGCTACTGAACTCATGAACACTTGCACGAAATAAGTCTTTCAGGGAACATATGGTGAAACATTCGTGATTGACCAAGCGAAAACTCAGACTATTTAGGATGAGAATTAAATGGCGAAATTAAATTTACTGTGGCTGAATAAATCGTCACTCTTTCATGTACACAACTGTATGTGTCGCCGCCGGGCCACATTTTAAGTTCTCTCTACACCACAGCTTCAAGCCAGACGGTCCCTGACGTAGCAAATGGTGGCAATGGAGAAAGTTAAAGGGCGGTGATTTTAGCTATTAGCCTTTTTACGCAACGGCTTTCTTTCGCTTGTCAGTTATATTCATATACTGCACATGTACCATCCACGGTTTGATACTGAATATCTCGGTAAGCTTCGGCTTCCATAGTTCGGTGCCAGGTCGAATTGCCATTGAAAACTGAAACAGCAACTATTTAACTTCAGTGTTGGTTTAGTTTTTATGCACAGTGATGTTTTTCTAATTTCATTGTTCTATCATATGATACTATTGATGTCTAATGTTTTGAAGAGTAGCGCTGTGTTGTAAGTTCAAGCTGATGGAGCGTCAGGAGCAGCGACAACGTCGAACGCCTGAGGCGTGACTGGTCAATGAAGTCATGGAAGCTCAACTTTACCATGATCTTGGACATGGTTTATTTCGTCCTAAATATATTGGAACAAGTTTACCTCTTTCAATTCAAGGAACGTCAGCCCAGTTTCACTTTTTCACAAGCTATAGTGGCAATACAATCGTTAAAAATCTGGCGCATATTATCATCGAAGGACACCAGGTTTAAATGTAATTCTAGGTGTTTCAGGAAATCTAAATTTCAAGGTTTTCTGGGTGATAAAGCTCTCGGACCCTTGTTAGTATGCTCGCCCTTAGGGGCTGGATCAGCCCCACCTATTAACCCGGCTTTGCTCAGCGATCCCTCCAGTATGAGAATTTGTTTATAATAAAGAGAGAGAGAGAGAGAGAGAGAGAGAGAGAGAGAGAGAGGGAGAGAGAGAAAAAAAAAAGTGAGAGATGATAAAAGTTTAGGCTGATTTGAAATGAAAATGGTTTGAAAGGAGTAAAAATTCAGATCAGAGTTATTAATAAACGGTAAGTAAAATGAGTCAGTTTTTTGACTGAACGGTCATGGCGTTGCAGTTGTATTTAACTTTCCTAAGAGATTCTAATTCCCCCCGTCAAAAAAGTGTTAGATTAAATAACAACAGAAAAAAAAATTGATCAGAACCCTAAGAAATAAACTACAGTAGGAAAGGACACCTGCGAAGATTAACAGAGTTTATTTCCAATCACAGAAGAACTCGGCCAAAAACCTTGACTTTTTATCGGCTGAACTTATATAGAAGGAGTAAAAACTACTGCTTAATATCATTTTGTCTGTGTTAGTACCACGAGCTGCCTGGGCCCTTTTCTTCGGAGTGGAAGGGAGTACTATTGACGATAAAAGCAATTTATGTGAATTTATTTATAAACAAGATAGAGCGATGGTAAGTGAGTTTACGATAAATGAGTTTAACAAATGATATGATTTTAAAGGAATAAATATTCCATTCAAAGATAACACATAAAAGAAATAATTTACGTAAAAGATCACTGCGTTGCAGCTGTATTTATCTTTTCCAAGAGATTTTAACCCCCCACGTCAGCAAAGTCTTAGATCAACTGACAATAGAAGAAATAAAGATAATTTGATCAGAGCGCTAAGTGATAAACTGCAATAAGCTCAATCAACCTAGTGTAAAGAGAGGTAGAGATCCCTTCCAAAGACTCAGCCAAAAACTCTGTCTTTGCACCTTTAACTCACAAAAGGTAAGGTTTTAAATTATTTGTTTCAGCAATAATCGAGGCGAGACTCATCTTTTTGTTTTAAAATAAAGTTTTAATTTTTGGTTGCAGATTTGACCAGAAATGACGCTAAACCTGACGTACTTGTCGATTTTGTTGTACATGATTGCTTCATCTGAAGGATGTCAACGAGAACAAGTGAGAAAGTGTACAAAAAAGTACCTAAAAGAGTTGGACGTGATCCCCGGATCAGATATAAGCTCTCATTGTCAACGCTTGAAGGTGAATTGACTTTAAATGTAAGACTGTGTAATGCAAAATACAAGATCTTTGGTGGCATACTGTTCATGAAGTAATGAGGCTATTTTATAGTGTGCTTAGTGCGGCAATCAACCCACTGTTCTGCTACTTTATAGCTTGGTTTGTTTCGGATGGGTGACACCTTAGTGACTAGTGCACTTTTTTCGCGCGTTGGGAGACCAACCCAATTCTGTCTACCCATTTTCCTGCTGTCTCCGAGTAGTAGCCAGTTTACTAATTACTATAACTGACTACAAAAGGCGTTGCCAAGAAGATCAATGACGCTAGTGTGTCAGAATCAACGCTGAAAAAGTAGCCTTTTTACCAGGTGGACCGAAAGCTCCCTCAGTGACTAACTGTCTTTGAATAAAACATTTAGGATAGGATAGCCAGTAGTGAACTGACTATCCTCCTTGTGCTATTCGTTAAATAAGGCCTACGTATAAGTAAAGTCAATTTTGATTAAAAATAAATCATTCTAAGCTGAGTGTTTCTTTTGTAGAAAGAGACTTTCACGCGCGTGGAGCATGATAAAAACTATTGCAGATGACAAAACATACAATGACATTGTCATTTCGTGAGCTCTCGTTGCCAAAAGACCTGAAAGACCAACTGTAAATATCCACTGGAAGTTATAAATATATAAATAAAACAAATAGACGATGATGAAGAAGATGACCACTAGGCCAAGACATTGGCAACGATAGTTTGTGTGAACTTACAAAAAACAAAGTTGACATGAAGATGATTTTTATGTCAAGGCGGTGAAAAGGCATACATCATATCGAGAAAAGTATTTTCAGAGCCACGTAGATTCCACATCGATGTATGCGTTACCATGGCGGTGGATTTAATATGGAATCGCAGAGAAGGAAATTTAGGCCTCGTCCACACGAGTTCTGACATTTTTGAAACCACCATTTTTTATCCGGATTCGTGTGGACGGGGCGTTAAACCAATCTGGAGAGCGGTTTCAAAAAAATTTGGTTTTGGTTAGCGGGTTCACTGGTTTCGTGCGGACGAAAGGCTCATTCGTGCAAAAAAAAATGCGGTTTAAAAACTAGCTTGATTCGTGTCATCGTGGACTAATTATGTTTGAAGACAAAATAATTTTTAATAAGTTTTGTTTGTGTTCTGTTACCACAGGATGTAGTAGGATGTTTTTGGTGGGACATGCCCAGCTGCACTGGTAAAGTGATAACCCAGTGGAGAGCCTGGGTTCTGCAGGTTGCTTCTTTGGAGACTTTTCTTGGCATGTGTCCTGGAGATTATCTCAATCTACAACGGATGTATGACGCCTTGCCCGAGGACTGTAAGAACACTTTTTCACGCTTATTTTGTTATTTAGTATAATTTAGTGTCCTTCCTGCTGTCCTGATTGACCAAGATAGGCAATTTTACTTGCATCGTCCTAAGGAATCTCTGAAAGGCTGGAGAGAATGCACACTTCTAAGTGATTACACATTTATGTGTGAGAAATTATAAGTTAAGCAGAAAAATATTGGTACATTTCCCTATTCTCCCTTCAAAATAAAAGGAAAAGACTTATAAATGTTATTCTTTAAATTACATTAGTGAAATACACTTAACACTTGCCAGATACAGACATAACAGTACAGTCACTGATATGAACAACACAGCTTATATTAGCGACGTATGTCGGTACACACCTTGAAGCTGTACCACTCCAGGTGAGTCACATACAACGTTTACATTTGGTTGGTAATTAAGTAGTTGAACGATTGTGCGAAAAAAACAAGACACAGATTTGCATCGCTTTTAGGAAGTGATAATGTACGTTATGCAGAATGCTGGTAAGTTATTATTTGATTATTCTTTGTTATAAATCGGTTATGGTCACGAGGCTCTGCGATTTACGTATTTCTACCTATCATGCATTAATTTGCCCAAAAGGTAAAGGGAAAAAATTTAAATCACGGATAAAACTGAACCACAATGTACTGCTATTCCGGACTCCAGAAACTACAAGAGGAAGTCGTGGGGTCGTTTGGGTGGACAAGCGATACTTATGACTTTTTCAAGGTTGCCTTGAATACTATCGACCAATCATAATTAACGCTTGTCCACCAAGGCGATCCCAAAAATCACTGCACCGAAAGCATTCTCCCTAGGGTTTTTGAAATGGGGTAAATTAGCTAACATTGCCTTAAGCCTACGTGGTAAGACCGCAAGGTCAGGTGGGTAGCTGCTAGTACTTGACAACATATATAATTGTTTTGTAGATATAGCTGAAGTTGACAAGGCCTGTGCCAAAAATGTTCACATCACTTGCAGCAAGAAGTTTGTCGAAGCTGTGAAGAACGACAAACTCATCTGTTCTGATGGAGCAGCTTGGCTGAGATGCTACGAGGAGAATAATAATTGCGATGAAAAATCTTTGATTTACCGTTACACTCAGTATGTCAGTCAAGTGGAACCATATTTAGAGCAAGAATGCAGTAAAGCTGTTCATTGACTGAATCTTTTGTTAACCGACGATTTTGATGATAACGGAGTTGTAATGGTAGACAAAAAAGATATTTTGTAATCTTTCTTCTGTTGCTATTGTATGAATATTTAGATAGCCGAACATGGTATCCACTAAAGGTTATTAGATCTACGTTATACCTCGAAAAAATAAATTTAAAGAAGGAATTCTAAGAAATCCTTATATCAATACTTGTATTCTGGGTAGTGTGTATTTCGTAGAGCACTCAATTCATTTGATTGAAGAGCATTGAGTATGACTACATATTAGTTCAGGCTTCAGGAGCAATCGTCTTTTATTGCGACAGTGCTGTTTCGTATTGTCCGAAATTATAGGACCACCTGATGAGTTTGGTTATATAATTTGGGACCATACGAAACACCCTGTCGCAATAAAAGATGATGACTCCTGAAGCCTGAACTCGTGTGATATCCTTATATCGATATTTCTTTTTCGTCTTTTAATAAACAAGTTTTGCACCAACATAACTATTTGACGACATCCGTGTTCAAAACACTTCCGCGCCTTTCAAGGAGATTCTGGCATTAGGTTTTAAAGCTTTTTAGGAAAGCGTGTTTCATAAAAAAAATGAAATTCGGAAAGAGTTTATTTACGTTTTTCTAATTTACTCCTGAACTATTTTTCATAGCGCTGGAATATGTACCCCAAAACTCAGGTATTTTAAAAAGTGAATGCAAGCTGACTGTTCAAGATGCTTATTCTTGTACGAGCATCGTACAAAATGCTAATCTTACAAATAGATAGACTACATTCATTAATTATATGACCAGGGGTGCGAGTAGGGGGCAGAGGATTTTAAGAGGGGATGGTAACAATTTCTGAAGGTACGAAGAGGGATGCAAATGCTTTTTAAATGCTACTTAAAATATAAAGTGTGTGAAGGATTAGGGATAAACCATCACACAAGTGAAGTCCCTTATTTTCAAGTTTGTACTATTAGTTCAAAGTACTAAAAAATCAATAACATTGATGTTTTTGAGTCCTTTGTGTTGTAAAGTAACCAGCTCAGTCTGTATGGTCGCAACCAACTGTGCCGTTATTGACTCCCATTAGCAACAATAGTAGTGGTATAGGGATCTTTTGGGGCTTGTTTTGGGCAGGAATCTCATTTATGAGGGCGGGAATACATTAACGCCGATGACGTCATAACCTTTTGTCTTTATCTCATGAATAAAATAGGCAGGATTCTCATTATCTCCCACCTTTTGTCTTTTAAAAAAATGGAAACAATAGGCTCACGCAAAGCCTGCGCCCGTCTTTATTTTATAAATAAAATGCACAGGAACAATTAACCCCTTTTTGGCGGAGGAATCGTTCATGCCGATGACGTCATAGCCTTTTGTCCTTATCTCATGAATAAAATGCGAAGGAATCTCATTAAGATAAGGTCGTGTGCTATTTCTAAGTGGTTTTAACTGGTCCGACAGGTTTTCGATTCGTTGATTAGAAAATAAGAAACGTTTTGACTGGTTAATTCATGGTGTTTGAGGAATAAACTCAAACTCGCTTGTGACTTACAGTCACTGAGCCGTAACGCAATTATGCACGTTGTAATTTCTGCGGCTGTCGTTTTTCCAGTTCACGAAAGCAAACTAGTTCTTTTTAGCACCAAAGAAAATGTTTTACTTAGTTAAATACCCTACACTCCTCCTACTCCTTCACTGACAATTAATTACTTACCCATTTTTCTTTTTACTTTCTCTCCACCATATCGACCCCACGTGGACCCTACAGTCAACTTTTATCTTAACACAGCCTCGTGAATAGTGAAGCTATATACAATCACCACCACCACCACCACCACCAGCACATTTCTATTGTTTTCTCTCCTCCTTATTTCTATCGTTTCGGTTTGGAATGGAAGTCTTCTGGTCATGGAGTGCAAACGGAGAAAGCTTAAAATAGGGTGCCCACCTTGCATAGGTAGTTTTCAGTGGGCCACTAACTGACATTTCCTTTGCAAATCACTAACAGCCCTTCACTAAAAAGTGAAAACAGCTGTTCAGGTTGGCTTAAAAATAGCATTTTTTCGACTTCAATAGAACACCATTTTGTCGAAATCGGCCAGATGAATTACTCGACCAATATTTAGGTATAGGTGAGCCGCTGAGGGTTTGAAACCCATATCCTGCTTAGGATAACACCCTCAACTTTAGTACCCTGATAGGACAACTCCCTCAGACGGGGACAAGGTTATCACGCACACCTGTCAACTTGTACTTTTCTTAGCTAGACAAGGGTGCTAAGAACAATAGCATTTACATTAATTCCAGTAAATGCTTTGGGTGATGACATACTAAATATCTGCAAACGTTTGCTTTAAGACGAAATCGATCATGCATGAAACACCCGGTTTATAATTAGAACAGACTCGCACAAATCATGCACACTGTTTAGGACAGACTTGTACGAAATTGTATACCTTGTTAAGGACAGACCTGTGCCAAACTATATACCCTGTTTAGGACAGGACGAAAACCATACCCCGTCCAGCGGCACATTCCCGTGTAGGCCGTATAAGGGAGTATCTCCCCCGCAGGGATAGCAGACAGTTGTTCAATTTATGGCTCAACATAAAATATTTCTGTTTTCTTATATATTATGGTTGATTTTTTTAAAGTTTTTAAGTAGTAAGTTGCTGTTTAGTTGAGTGTGACAAGAATGGATACTTTATGAAATTATAAAAACCAAAGTGACCCTCACAACCAGCGGGAAACTTGGGTCAAGCTTTTGGTGTGCTGGGTATCTGGCACCAACCAGAACCCAAATCCTTTTATAGTCTTTTCTATGACCAAAAGGCCCAATGTCAGCTACTTTTGTTAAATGTAAACTATGTGATTCCAAGTTAGTCATTTTGTGTTCCTGAATCTGCTGTGTGAACCTTTGTAATTTCCAGTCACATTGAAGGTGTTGAAAATGCAGCTCCATTATGGTCCATCCTGTCATGAAATGTTGCCCCATCCACAGGTAGCCCAAACTCTGAAGGAGTTTGTCGGACTTTGAATTTATAAGAGAATGTATGACAATAAACAAAATACGTCCTAAATTCCATTTTTTGACAAAAATAGAAATAAGAATGACTTCCCTTGTGTTTTTGTTTTGTTAAGCTAAAACGGCTTGGTTATACCCTACTTCAATAATTATTATCCATTTATCAGTATTTTAGTTATTTATTTTGATATAAGGCAGGTACCACAAGGAAATGATTTGGTTGTTTCTTTTTAATTTAGATGATAGATAACTTTGTAGATGATATGTAGATGATGTAATGCACTGAACTGGGGGCCTTTCTCTGCTACCTAAATAATCTTTAACTTTTAACACCTTTTCATAATAACTGTTGAAAACTCTCATCTAAAACAAAAGGGTCAAGGCTTATTTGCTGAATCAAGGCTCTGTATCGTGGAACACAGTGCTTTTTAGAATTACCGCCAAAGTAGTAGCTTTATTTCCTGAAAGACTGATTATAATGGAAGCTTTATTTAATCCACGGCTAATTTTAAATTTTCAGGTGACTTTCCAACCCAGAGGGTACATAAAAGCACATTGTGCAAGTGGAGAAAGAGTAAGAGCAAAGTAAAAGAGAAGAAAGAATTATGGGAAAGGGAAGAAATGAAAAAAATGGTTGTAGAATTGTAAACAAACGACTTTATTTTTATAAAAGTAATAAACAATTTTTTTTAACATTTTATTAAATTCTTAGAGTGGTTTGTTTAGGGTTTTGAGAATTTCATTAACTAAATGGTCAAGCTACCCAGACATGCAACTGAGCAGCCAACTGCTTGGCCTCAATGAAAATGTTTTTTTTTCCTGTTTTCTTTTTTTTTCATTTTCTTTGCTTTTTCTCTTGAAGCCCTCTCTCTCCAATTGGTTCCTCTGTTCCCCACAAGCATTTGCCTACAACACCCTCGGACCTCCAACTCCTCCTCCTGTTACAGCTACAACATGGATATGCCTGCATGATCGTTTTTATTCCATGTTAAATTTTATGATAAGCTTACCATACTAAGTGAAAAACAAAAAGTGGCCCATAACCAGCTTAATGCTGAAGGTCTTGTCTCATCAGGAGCTCAGAAGGCAATCAGGGAAGTAGGTCACAGGAAGGGGAGGGAAAAGAGCCCCCCCCCCCTTGAGTGGAGGAAGGGGGAAGAAAAAGAAAAATAATTCATCCCAGAAACAACAGGACCTATTTCCACACTTTTCAACACCATCATGCTACCACTTGGCTGAGGACTGTTGTCAGACAGTTCAGTGTGGGATAGGGTATGGAGGGCAGAGAGTTTTGGTGACAATGAGGCTCCTGGGATTTTAAAAAAAACAAAACAAAAACAAGTGAAAAAAGTAACTATAAATAACTGCGCAAAAATCTTAATACTCAGGATAAATAATTTGGATTGATACTAGAGCTCCTAGTAAATGTAAAAAGATAGCAGGTGAACATGGGCAGTGGGTCTAAGGGAGGTCCCCTGCCCTCCATATTTCTAGATCAAACCGAGGACAACAGTGCCAAGAAAATTCTTTTCTAGATTGCGCTCCTCCGTACCTTAAGGTCTGGATGAGTGGTTCCTCCCCGTCACCTTAAGGTCTGGTGGTGAGAATCCCCCCCCCGCCCCACCCCTCTTATCTGAAAGTTCCGATCTGCTACTGTAGGCTCCTATATCAGAGCATATACAGAGACACTACACTAATACAATCTGCAGGACCGTTTTCTTTTTTGCAAACTTGAGCAAATGCCTGCCTGCGCTTGTAATAGTGATCACCAAGCTACAAGAAGTATGACCTGACGTAAATTATGTGTTTTTTACCATTGTTAACGCTTGGAATCAACTAACCCATAAAATTATAAGATCGTTAACTGACCTTAACTGTATTTGTACCCTCTTTGTAAACGCAACAATCATGTTTATATTGGGAAGTTCAGTAATAATAATCCAGATGGCCAAAACTCCCATATTTTGGCCATTCTT